GAGTTGAGGTTTTGGTGTCGACACAAGTTGCTATATTCCAGTGTCCTACAATATTTTGAGGCCGGATAGTCACAGCTCATAGGTATATAACTGTTATAGAATGTTTTGACTTTGCAGACACTTTCTCAACAGTTATGACACTGCTTTAACTGTCCTCATTAAACTGGCTGCCATTGTCATTCTGTATCATTTTAATACTTTTATACATTTGCTTAAATAAGCCTTGCTACGCACAACCTCTGCTACATAGGTCAAGGCCGTATTAGGTAATACTATATAGACAAAATCAATTACATGTACTTATATTCTGATAAATACATTGTACAACACACACAAAAACAAGTTACAATAAAACTACAACACAAGTAACAATTGACGAAGGTATGAGATCAATGACCTCTAGTCTGTACAAGCTAAGCTTTTGGTTCAACCTTCTTTTTTGCGAAACAGTCCCTAGTTAGTGTACAAGTCCCGTTGGCCTTTTATCAGACCATCCTCCATAGCAACTAATGTAGGATAGTTATCCGTTTCATGTTAACATATCCTGTTCTCAGTAGAGTAGGCTTGCATGTCACCTAATTACCTTCGCCAAGAAGGTTATGTTTTCAGTAGCGTTTGTCCGTTTGTTGGTTTGTTGGTTTGTTTGTTTGTGAACAGCATAACTCAAGAAGCTTGATATGGATTGTCATGAAACTTGGTAGGTGGGTAGGTCTTGATGAGACCTAGAAATGATTAGATTTTGGGCCCCCTGACGGCTTTTGTTGGTACTGCAGCAGAAATTCCGGTTTTGATATCTCGCGATCTAGACGTACTAGGGTCACGAATTTTGGTTGGTAGATAGCTCTTGGGGTAGGGAAGAAGTGACATGAGTTTGGGCCCCCTAGCAGCTTGTTCTGGAACTGCAGGAGCATTTCTTGAAAAATCTCCGAAGGTGCATAACTCAAGAACCGGTTGACGGATTGTCATGATTTTTGGTTTGTAGGTAGCTGAAGTGATGCTTCACATAATCAGATGACAATTATGCAAATCAGGAGCTAATTTGCATAATTAATGAGGAAATTCTATAAATCTGCTTCGTTCGATAATAGGACTATGAAACACGTGTGACATGTAATTGAGAACGAGAAAAACATCCGGGGATATAGATTATGTAAATGAAGACCTAATTTGCATAATTAATGGGAAATTTTTATAATTTCATAGTTGTAATTGCTGGGAATTCTATACTTGCCGTATTGGAAGTTAAGTGAAGGTGAACATCAATGAAGATAATTTATTAACATCATGACCTCATTTGCATAATTTATGAGGAAGTGCTAGAATAGCCTATTTTGTTAAGATAAGGCTATCATTGGGGGGAGAATATGATCCATATGATGTAATCTATTCAAATGACTCTGTTATTTGCGAAATCAATGATCAAAATTGTATAATTCGTCAACCGTCAATTTGTTAACATCATTTGGCGAAGGTATGAGATCGTGGAACTCTTGTTGTTCATCTCACACAAAAGTTGTTGTAAGCGTTCAGTCCCACATGTGGGCTTTTATGAGAAATGTTTATTCCTGTTGTTGTTTATGTATTTTTTTGTCTTTATGCTTAAGGAACAACCATCCTTATGAAATTCAATTCGTTGTCACCTAATACAGGCTGATTATTTGTAGGTTTTAGATATTTAGTCCATACGTAGTTACTTTGTGAAACCAAGCCATTGGTAAAACTGTGTGATAAACTCCAAAGAATTAAAACGTATTGTGTAAATACTTATTTAACCCTTATATTTCTAAACAGCCTTGCCTGTTATGTTAAAGTTGGTCTATTTGTAAACTTGGCATGATTGTGCATCCGTGTTTAAGTTTAGCCATAATTTCATAAAGTTCACCTGTGTTGGAAGAATCCATAATGGAGTCAAAGTTTCAGCACAATAAAATAAAGAACTCACCATGACTTCTTGGTCGAACCTTAGTCAGGTGTGTGTGTGTGTGTGTGTGTGTGTGTGTGCACCATAACCTGAGGGTGAAGCACACATAAAGATTAGTCTGGACATCGTAATTTTAAGAATGGAGTGATATGAAGCAGTAGTCTTTATCAGGCTTCTTGGGCTGCTAAAAATTGTCCAAATAAAGTAGTCAACCTGCAATGATTAGTCAGTCAAAGAGTTACAAATTTGCTGGTTATATACAATTTTCTCTGTCAGGTTTTTCCTAATTGACCAATTTCTATTTTTTTTTAAATCAGTAGCCCAGGGAGTGAAGTAGAGACAGCTAAAACAGGATGATAACGATGTTTGAATATTTTGTCAATATGAGTGAGGCAGCAGCCTTTTGTTTAAAGTGAGTTGTGGAACATTTTTGCACCAAAAATGTGAATGTTTTAATTTGAAAATTGAAAACATCTTAGTTTGATTGTAATTTACTTCCACTTTTCAATATATCAGTGCAATTATTTCACCTTTCTGAAAGTAATAGATGGCACTGAATTTAAAACAGCCCACACGAGGCGCATTCAAATTTAGTTCGTATTACCACCACAAACTACTAGCCTGGGTACCATCCTATTTGTATGCCGGAAATACTTAGGGGGGAGTATGGGAGCCCCAGCATACAAATAGGATGGTACCCAGGCTAACAAACTACCACCAGATATAAACAAACATGGCTGACATGTGTATCAATCTTTTAGGCACACTCCAAAGGCGTCATATTTTGGCACCTTCAATTCCTGAGTTTGGTAATGAAGTAGTGTTGATTCAATTTATTTTTTGTGAAGGAATGAACAGAAAACTTTTTGCATCGCCCTGATATTTTAGAATGCAGCTTAAAGTGACTTCGATCATTTTTGTTTGCACCATTAGGTCTGTATCATCTTTTAGAGAGACAGTAAAGTGAAGACCCAGCACATGAATATGATACCTAATCTCTTGGTGTTATTATATTAATACGAGAATCCATCATATAGTCCTAGAACACTGCGTTTTCTGATATCTTCAAAGAATAATATGCATAAGTTGAAAAATAAACATTCCTTTTTTTAAAGATGTCTGTCTGTGATTATTACCTTCGCCAAAAAGGTTATGATTTCAGAGGCGTTCGTGTGTATGTCTGTGTGTCTGTCTGTCCGTCTGTAAACACGATAATTTGAGAAGGCTTCACTGGATTGACTTTATATTTGGTAGGTGGGTAGGTCTTGATGAGGCCTACAAATGATTAGATTTTGGGCCCCCTAGCAACTTCCTATGGTACTGCAGCTGAACTTCGGGTTTTGATATCTCCTAATCTGGACATGCTAATCTGGTCATGAAATGTGGATGATAGCTAGCTCTTGTGCTGGGGAAGACATGACGTGAGTTTGGGCCCCCTAGCGGCTTGCTGTGAAACTGCAGGGATATCTGTTTTAAAATATTCATAAAAGGATAATTCAAGAACCGGTTGACGGAACGTCGTGATTTTCGGTATGTAGGTAGCTTACGTGATGCTTTATATAGTTATGTGACAATTATGCAAATATGGATGTAATTTGTATAATTTATGGGGAAATTCTATAAATCAACTACATTCCATGATAGGATTATTGAAGCTTGTGGGATTGGTAATTGAGAATGAGAGAAACACAGGCAGATATCGATTATGTAAATGAAGACTTAATTTGCATAATTAATGAGAAAATGTTATAATTCTGTAATGATAACTGCCTTCATACTTGTGGTATTTGAAAGTTCAGTGAAGGTGAACATCATTAAACATAATGTATTCAAATCAGTACATCATTCGCATAATTTATGAGGAAATGCTAGAATTGCTAATTTTTAATACTATTTTTGTTTTTTAATACTATTTTTGTTCCTTTTGAGAAATTGACATCTAAGATATTATGTAATCATATCAAAGCAAAAGAAGTAAGACAAAGTAGATGCATTGATGACTTGAGTGAAACACTTGATGTTACAACTTTGGATAAGAAATTGATATGGAAAAGTTTAGTAGTAAATATTAAACAAAACAATTCAATTTCAAGCTTTTGCATAATGTTCTTCCCTGTAAAGTGAAACTGAACAAATGGCAAATTAGGAATCAAGCAGGTGAAGTATATAGTCCAATGTGCACACTATGTAATGTTAAGGAAACCTACATGCATATGTTTGTAAATTGCAAAAGGCTGGGTAACTACTGGGAAAAAGTTGAAAATAGATTGAATCACCATAGCACTATAGAGTTAAGATAAACAAATTGTCAATATTTTTTGGAGTGGATCAAAATTTGGAAGTCATCGATGCAAATATCACACTTGTGATTACTCTAGCAAAATTTGTTATCTATAAATCCTGGATGGAATTTAAGGATAAGGATAGCATGCAACACAACTTATGGTATTACTAGATGTCCTTTAGACAACTGTAACTATGTTTAGTGCATTGTATGGTGTGTACGTGTATATTTTGTATATTTTGTATACATTTTGTCTCTTGGTCATCAATAAAGTTTTGGAAAAAATAATGTATTCAAATCAGTACATCATTTGCATAATTTATTAGGAAATGCTAGAATTGCGTCGTTTGTTTGTTAATATAAGACTTTCTTTTGGTTTAGAGTATGATAAACTGGTACATGAAAATGAGGATCGATCCTATTTGTTAAATCAGGGGGAAATCTATAATTTGTCAGTCATAAAGATTAGCATCATTTGGCGAATGTATGAAATCAGGGAACTCTAGTTTGATATAATTTTATATGGATCGAAAGTCAGCTTTAGCTTTGTAAACAGTAAATAGGTTAAAGGACATGCAGCTCAGATGGGTTAGGTTGTTTCACTTAGTTATTTCGTTAATTTGACTATGAATCTTCGAGGCTCGGAAAACAGTTATCTCCAGTAGAGACATGGTGAAGATTTGCCTGCCAAGCACAAATGTGTGTCGAAATTATTATCAATGTGCAAAGTCCTTCAGCCTGTTTGAGACACTAGGTTTTTTTCACTCGTGTGTTACGGGTTCCCTCCCCTGGGAGCTCCCATGGCCAGTAAGTGTTAGGTAGTGTGACGGTGGGAAGGGGAGCACGCCGTGGTGTGTTACGTGTTCCCTCCCCTGTGATCTCCCACGGCCAGTAAGTGTTAGGTAGTGTGACGGTGGGGAGGGACGCACGCCGTGGTGTAATACGGCTTCCCTCCCCTTGGATCTCCCATGACCTATATGTGTTAGGCTGTGTGAGAAAAGCGATATGAGCTCTTGTGACGTCTTCACCTCTGGACAGGATTGCATCTGTGACGTTGACGTACCTGCTCACACCTTGGTCAGCAGGCTGAGATACCAAAGCTGTCCTCTGCTGTCGCCGGGACCTTATACTTTCGACCTCGGCGGCGTTTCTGTAAAAGGGATTTCGTTGTCCGTTGGTCTGTCCAGTCGACCCATATGTGGCCATGGATCGTCCAGACCGTCGGTTCTGTCGCCTGTTTGTGACGACATGAAGCGAGATCTCTCCAGCATCAGCATAGAAAGACATCGGTCCGCTCTCCTCGTCATCTGGGATCTCACTGTAGGTATGATGTGAGACAGGCAGAGGACGCTGTGTGGCAGTGTGGTGATCTGGGATCTCCCAGGAAGTGTGCGGGAGGGCGGGCAGGGGGCGGTGAGCAGCGGCCATGTGATCTGGGATCTGGCTGTAGGTGGGTTCAATGGACGGTAGGACAGCCGGCAATGACCTACAGGATGTCGCGTCGTCTGGACCGCCCCGGGGAGTACAAGCGGGGAGGGATGCTGACCGGACCACACCGGGGATCACGTCATCTGGAATCTCACAGTACACGTGTGGGAGACCGGGTAAAGGCCTCTGTGCAGTCGCTACGTCATCTGGGATCACGCTGTAAATAGGTTCGATGGAATGCAGGACAGCGGGCAATGACCTACAGGAGACTGCGTCATCCGACGCCATCTTGCCTGAACGTGCAGCTGCGGGGAGAGAAGCAGACCTCAGCAAGCCGGGAAAGGCAACGCCAGGCGGGATTGTCCAAATGTGTGCATCGTCGTTGTCCCTGTCATCATCCTCGGTGTTTGACCTTGCTGCGCACACCTTCCATATTAACACTGCAAGGGACGACACGACCAGAACAACCACTGTCGAGACAACAGCTGGGATGAGAACATGACCTGGTGTCTGAACCACCTCTACATACGGTCCAGGTGTGGTATTACCCTCAAGTGTAAACAGGTCTACCGGTTCTGAAGATGTGTAGTCTTTCTCTGTAGTATCAAAGTAGTGTGTCGGACTGCTGGAGTGGTCAGTGCCCGTTCTGTATGTTGTTTCTGTTGTGTGGGTGTTACGCTGAACCAAGGGGACAGT